TTTATTAGTAGTGGTAGAGTTGAGAGATGGTTAAAACCGTTATCTCCCTCCCTGAAGCTCAATTCTGATGGTTCTGTTGATCTTAATTGGGCTGGTTTTGGGGTATTATTCGGGATTTTTCTGGCAAAGTAATTGTGGCGTATGCGGGCCCTTTATCTCCGTGTATGATCATTTTTGCTGAGCTTATGGGCTTATTCAAAGGTTTTCTTATTTGTAGCAATAGAGGTTTTTTTAATATTGAAATTGAGGTGGATGTTTTAAGTGTTATTCAAATTATTAATAATGTTGATGTGTTTCATCCTCAGTTATTTTACATTCTCAGGAAAATTCGTTTGGCCCTCTCTACTATGAATTATACGATTAAGCATTTGTTTAGAGAAGGTAATGCTTGTGCTAATTTTTTGGCAAAATTTGGGAGCAGATTGGATATAGAATTTGATGTGAATACTTTGCCCCATAATTTAAAATGTTTGGTGACTCTGGATAAAATTGGTTTTCCTTATGTTAGATCGAACTGAAGTTATGTGTCTATATTCTTTGGTGTTTGGGTTCCTTTCCCTTGGTTTCGTGTTGCTTGGTCTGCTGCTTTCTGGAGCCTTTTTCTTTTGTTATTTTTGTCCTACTTTTCCTGATAGCGGTTTTTTTGGGTCTCTTGTCTCGGGTTCGGTCTTGGCTGGGATCTGGAAGCTTTTGATTTTCTATAGGGAAATGAATTTTACTACTATGTTATTAACTTCTTATTCCTGCATCGTGTGGATGTTTGTCTTCGTCTTTATCTTTAAGGCTTTTGGGATCTGGATTTTGGATTGGTTGTTCCACGTCTGGTGTACCATCTCTGGATATTTACAGGTTTGGTTGTTCTTATTAATTGGGTGGTGGAGTAGGGTTGCTGTTTTATATTGGCTGAATAGGAGTTGTTGGAGCTTTCGGGATAGCTGGAGATGGTATAGTGATTTTAACATTGTTTTCAATATCAATTGGTATAACTTGGTGGATTTGAGAAAGGTTAATCATCAGCAGATCGTGGTTTATTTTTTCTGGAGGAACCTGGACATGTTGTGTTTTTATTCCTACAAGAGTGGTGTTAATTCCAAGTTTTGTTTTAGTTTGAAATGTTATGATAATGATTTTGTTTTTTGGAGAATTTCTTGCAGGAACAGATTATTCTATAGGTGCTTATATGAGTGCAAGGTAATTCTGGTTGGTTGCTGTTATTTCTTGTTATTTTTTATTTCTCAATTTTGCAGGAAGAGGATGCTGAACGAGGACTTTAAGCTCTTCCTTTTTTGGGTGATGTCTGCTCACAGCCCGATCACTTTTTTCTGTATTTCTTGTAATCTTAGGAAAAGGAACCACTGGCTCATAGGTTTTTTCTTTTTCTTTTTTGCGTGTAGCTCTTTCGAGCATTAGGGAGCTGGAGCTTCCTTCTAAGGACTCTGTAACTGGTTTTTTGAAATTAACACGTAGGCCCCATTATGGGTTTTAACAAAAAAAAAGTAATAGGAATAATATTGACATTATTATTAAAGTTGTTTTTAAATGATCCACTCCAGAATTGAAAAAAGAATTCTTACCAAAACCCCCCATCATTGCTAATAATTTTGAAAATATGATTTATAATATTTTTCTTATTAGCCATAGCATGTAAGTACTTAGTATTTTGTATCCCCTTCCAAAATGATTTTAGAGGTAGCTTTCTGCCTCTAGTAGATTTCCTCCTGATCTTGAAATTAAAAAAAATCTAATTTTAGCATTATTAAGAGCAGACATATTGTTAATATATGGATTATCCACATACAACTTATTTAACTCAATCACCTCATTTTCAGCCTCCTTGATATTAGCAAAATATTTTTAAAAATATTTTTATTCCACCATCTTAAAACATGTTTCAACCTACTCAGCTTGGCCCATAATTTAGCCACACCATAAATATCATTATTCAGGAAAATAGGGGCAATTCAATTATTATGAATCACATTAATAAAATCATGATGAGATAACCACATATTTTGAAATTTAAAGCAGGAGCAAGAATCCTATTAGCATTAATAGACAAAAGTAAAGGAACATGACCAGAAGTAGTTCCACTCAAGTGTTCCACATGAGTCATATGGAAATCAGCAATCCGATCATTATTAAATAAAATCATATCAAGTCTTTGCCATAAGTTACCTCTACTCTATGTAAAATCACCCCCAAAAAAGTCAATATCATGTAAATTGCAATCACTAATCATAAAGTTGAAATCCTCCATGGAATTAATGTTAGGAGAATTTCCCCCTAATCTCTCATTAGCATTGAAAAAAATATTAAAGTCTCCACCAACACACCATGGACCGTTAGAATTAAGAGCAAAAGTATTTAAATGATCCCAAAGGGCAAGCCGGCCCAATCTTAAGCAAGAGGCATAAAAAAAAGAAGCATTACATTTAAAGTTGAAAAAGGATATTTGAACATTAATAACTTGATGGAAATCATCAATAATATTCACACTAAGTGCACTATTCCACATAATCCAAATTTTATTAGAACAGTTAGCAAACTTCATAGAAAAACCCAGACGAGAAGCAGTAAAGTCAAGCTTATTCGAAGAAATAAAAGGCTCAATAAAAACCAGCAACTAAATGTTATAAATTCTACAATGATTTCTAACTCTAATTCTCGAATCATTCCCCCTAATACACCTCACATTCCATATAAGAGCCTTAACCATTACAACCTTTGGAAGTAGTTTGAGCTCTAGTAGAATGAGGCATAGTAGGTAATGAAATTTTCACATTTTTCCCTTTCTTTCTATCCACCTTCATAAAACCATCCTCGTCATTATTTTTAGAGGTAGTACCCACAAGATTGGAAGATATAAAGTCTTCTTTTTCAACACTTTCTAACTGATCCTCCTTGAAAGTGTTCGTTCCCGATTTGGGAATAAATTCCCCTTTTTCACAACCCTCATTTTCAATAGATTCCAGTTTTCTAATAGGAATAGGGGTCGGGTGAGTAATAGGTAATTGAGGATCACTAGTATTATGAAGCATAAAATCAATAGAAACATAAATATTAGGCACTTTATCACCCTCATTATCAAAATATGCACTAGAAGCAACCTTCTCAGTTAATAATTTTTCTTTGTTTTCCGGAATAACCAGATTGAGATTAACAGCATTCCCAATATTATCATTGTGAGAAGCAGGCATTTCATTATCCAAAATAATTAGATTATTTTTGGGCACATCAACCTTTTCCATAGATGTGTTTGAAGATTTCTTACATTCCAGGTGTAATTTAAAGCATTCTGATAGGGCATGACCATAAATCTTACAATGAGAGCAAAAATCTGAAACTTTTTCAAATTCCTTTTTTGTAAATAACCAAAAGCTTTGGATCCCACCCAAATCTCATTTGCATGTTTTTTAGAAATATTGACTTCAACTATAACCCTAGCCACAGAAGGTCGAGTTCAAGTAGCCGTCACCTAGTCGGTTTGCAGGGGACAACCAAAAATGGAACCAAGAGCGTGTAGAACTTTCGGATTAAAAAAATGTAAACGCAAATTAGGAAAATAGATCCAGATCAGAACTATAGGTGATTCCTCTCTAACATCAAAAAAAGGAGTTCATTTCAAAACCCGCATTTGACAATTGTTGATAAAATAAGCTATTCTCACAAACACCCTACTGTAATCTAAATCAATCGAAATTTGAATCGCAACATGTCGTGCATCCAACAAACTAACATAGTAAAAACCAAACAATTTAAGGTTGCCGAAAAAATGTCGGATCGTGTCCAGGTTCGATCTACGCAAGCAAAATTTACCAACTAAAGTGAATTGAAAAGGAGAACCAAGTTTGAGAACATCCTCATCAGAAAGAAGCACACCGTTAAAAACCGATTGAGTTAAGTTAGGAATAGTATCACCTGCCAACGGATTACCAGAGAGAACATCTTTGAACAATCTAGAATGAGATTTATAAGGCTCGTCACCCTCCAGGCTAAAAAACCCTTTGTTATTGCCATGAATTGGGCTAGACGCCTTTCCCCACGGATTGAAGGACGGAACACCCACCATTAAAACGGCCCTAACAGGGCACCAGAGCAGAGAAGGCACCCAACACACGAAGTCACCAAAAGCACGAGCAGAAAAGTGGAAAAATGGAGGATTGAGCAAGAAAGAGGGGGAAGAGAGGGAACCCTAAAAACGCCCGAGGCGACAAATAAGCTTATTTTCATGTACATTAAACTAATATTATAGAAAATTATCTTTGAATGTATAGGTCCATCGATATTGAAAAGGTCCACCTAATTTGACTTATCTTGCTGAGTGTATAAGTAGATGAACCATAATCATGAAAAATGATGGAAAGAATGATTTTTCCATCTAGCACAAAGTCATTATACTACTCATAATCTTGAAATGAATTAAAGCCATCCGTGGATAAAACAAGGCACACATTAGATCATCTGCAAAATTAGGGTATTGTAAGTCAAAACTTTTCCTTCTCCATCAGCAGGATAGCATAGTAAGCAATCTATGTTTTCTATGTGTTGCATGCATCTCCTTAACAATTTTTTTTTTTTTTTTTTGAATAATGTTTAGAGTCTAGGAGTTAATGAGAAATATTAAATAATCTTAGTTAACTTCATACATTTTTCTTTCCTGTCAAAATTTTCTTCTTAGTACCACACCAACTTGACACTCCACAAATATGACCACCTCTTGATTTGATGGTTCTTTTCGAAACAACAAAATTGATACAAAATAATCCAACAAAATTATTGAACAGTACACATTTCTAAATATGTAAAAATTCATTAAATTAAAAAACTTTTGAAAATATTTTGAATAAGTGTAAATTAACGGTGCATTTAAAACATTTCTTTTTCCACAGTTTTTATAGTTTTATTTCTGTCCTATATTTTGTTATATTTCAATAAATATTATCACAATAAAATTTTTTTAATAATTAAATATGTTAAAATATAACATTTGTAAGAATTTATTGCTTAATTTTTGGGAAAAAAATATATTACCCAAAAAAACTCTTCTTTCTGATAATAATTTTACAAATAACAGTCAACGCAACTGGACTTTTACACCTATTAAGAACAACTTGAGTCACTTGACATAAATAGTCACTAATTATTAAGTCAGCATTTTAATAATCCACTGCAGCACTCCGCTTAACACACTGCTTAATCATGTTTACAAACAGCTAGCTTTTCTCCGGCGACGAATCCGGCACCGCTCCGTCGCTTCCGGCGAGCAACAAGTACTTATCTCTCCTAGTCAAAGCCGTGCACTGAAACCCCAACTCCTCCGCGAGCTCCCTCTGAATGCGATTCGCAACATCCGCCGCCGACCACCCTCCGGCGAGCGTCATCTCCTTCGGAACACGACCGAGAAAACTGATTCGATAACTTGGCCTCGGATTCAGAAAGAAAAATATCGGATCCAGTGACTTCATGCCAGTAGCGGTGGTTCCGTAAAACATGGAACAGCCGGCTTCGATGGCGACTGGTTCGATGTCATCGGCCAGCTCAGCGAACAGAGGACTGAAGCGGAGGAGGTAGGGTTCGCGGCAGGTGGTGCCTTCGGGGCAGACGGCGAGGTCGCCGGCGGCTAGGAGGCGGCGCATGGTGTGGGAGTCGCGGAGGCGGTTACGGGTAAGTCTGACGGTGGGGATGGGAGAGATGGATTCGGAGAAGCGGCTGAGGCTGTAGGTGACGACGGGAATGGGGCGGAAGAGCGCGTGGGATAGGAAGATGGGGTCGAGGAGAGTGCGATGGGTGCAGACGTAGAGGACGCCGGAGGGAGAGGGGGAGGAGGAGGAAAGGGGGCGGTGTTGGATCATGCGGAAATGGACTCCGAGGGCTGCGCCGAGAAGGGGGCTGAGGGAGTAAGGGAGGAGGAGGCCGGTGAGGATTCGGAGGAGGGAGAGGAGAAAGGCGAACGGGAGGTAGAGGACGAGGCAGAGGGAAGTGGAGGGGGTGGGGAGAAAGGCGAGCCGTCCGTCGTGGAAGATTGGGAATTTTGGGTATTTTTCTCTAGGAAGATTGGTGATCGAAGGGTCGGCGGTGGCGGCGGCAGCGGTGGCGGAGGTCCTGGTTGAGTTGATTGAGTTGGGCTCTTCTTTTGTTACCACGTATACTTCCTGCAAGTGGAGAAAATGGATAAATTAAGACGTTTTTTTATTTATTAAAAGGTATTAATTTTTAAAGGCGTTTACTTAATAAAAAGAATAATTTTAAACATCTTTGAATTTATTTTTAGAAAATTTTAATAAAATTCCTTGCCATTATTTCTAACCTTATTATATATTATTACCAAAAGAAAATTAATGACAAAAAAATAATAATTACATAAAATCAATTAAAAGAAAATTAATGGAGAAAACACAACAAAAGCGATAGCGGTTTTGATTAAATGAATAAACAACAACTGTTATTTATAAGAGTTATAGTGAAAATTTGGTCTAAATTTTGAAAATTTCTTTAGTTAATTTTTTTAAATAATTATAATTTAGATTTTAATTGAATATTTCTTCTCCATATATATAAATCTTTAATATTTTCGAGATTTATTATGATCAAAGTTTAGTAGGAATATCTGGCTTAAATTTTTTCAACATTTAATAGCAAAAAAATAATAGTTATTAAATTAGGTTTTAAAATTAAAAAGAGCTAAAAGATAATATTTGATTAAAAACTCTAAACCAAATTTATAACTGATAATTAGTAGGCAGGTTAATTATAAAAAGATAATAATTACTTTATTTTGTCTAGTATAAGTACTTAATTTAATTAATTTTGATTTGTTTCCTTATAAAAATTAAATATATTTGTTTCTTTTTCCTAACAATTCACGGATAATTTAGTTGTATGTTCAGCTAAATTCATCTAAAAACAACATAATCTAAATACTTTAAAGAAGAAAATCAAGCAACTATGGGATAATACCTCATATGAAAATTTTAAAAAAAGCAAATATAAATTCACTATATAAAAATATGAGATAAATAACTTAAAACAAATTTCTTATTATAGCAATTCTCCATTTATATTGTCATTAATATTATTGATATAAAATTTTTTGTATAAAAATTTTCCAACTAAACAATAATTATTATAAATTTTAAAATCAAAAAAATTAATTTAAGATAAGTGTAATATTAATTATCTCTAAATTATATAAATCTTAAAGCATATCCAATAACTCTAAAACCAACTAAGAATTTTATCATAATATTAATTCTTGATAAAATTTTTGTCCATAAATATTATAGAAAAAATATTTAAATTATACTTTAATGTGACAGAAAATTTGTTAAAATATCATAATAAAAATCATTGGATCTACTTGAGATGAGTGCATTTTTTTTTTAAAATTATCTTCTTTTTTTTTTCTTCTTACATTTATTTTCGGCCTTGAATTCCCCATTATATTATAAGGCTTAAATTAAATAATTATTTTGTAATCATCATAAATACGAAAAGATTGAGGTGGCTCTCAAAATTTGAGAAAAATATATAAAATTATTTATAGTATAAAATTATAACTTTTAAATTCCATTATAATCATAAATATTATAGAAAATTTAGCCAATAATTTGAAGTAATTTATTTTACGTCATCTAATTAAAATCCTAATTATGATTTGACATTATCTATATTTTTTACATATATATTTAGCGATAACTTTTTTGAAGTTAAATATAAAAATCAAATATCATATTCAATTATATTTTCAATATTTAAGATGAGGGTTATATAACCTACAAGGAAAAATATTTTTAAACTAATCCTGTAAGTATGTTTTTTTCATATATGAAGCTCCTCTTATATCTAACTAATAATATAAACATATTTGTATGAAAAATTCTAAAAAATATATTTGTAAGAAAAATATTTCTTTTTATGAATCTTACTATTCAATAACGAATAGAAACCAACTTTTCATAAGAAAGCAAATACTGTGCAAAGCAAACCTTAGAGCAAGGGATTAGCAACTGATCATTAAGATCGGAGAGTCTCAAGAGCCCCACATCAGCCTTCTCTTCTCCAAACCGATCCTTGACCGCCCACATCCTCTCAGCCACCGTACCGCCGGCGGCGAACCTTCCGGTGAAGTACTTCCCTCCCACGACTTCAAGCTCAGGACCAAAAACCTGAGTCTCACCAAAGCACTCCTCGACAAACCTCTCCACCATCACCTTGGGCAAACTAGTAAGAACGCCCCTCTTCCCCGCAGCCACCGCCACTTCATAAGTCCGGCGATCTATCTCCTCCGTATAAATCTTCGGTAACACTGCCCTCGCCACAATATTCATATCACTGCACTTCAACCCACAAAAGGTGACGAAGACCATAACCCTTAAAGCAGACTCGCTGTTCGGTCCAAGAAGGAGAATAATAGGGTAAGCGAGCAGAAGAAGAATGGCTTTGAACAGCCCACCACCTTCAAAGGCTACCAACATGAAGAAGGAGAAGAGGGACTTTGTCCTAAGTAAAGAGTTATGGAAGTTGAAAAGCAAGGAAAAGTTTTTTCTTCCTTCGAGCCGACATGAAGAGATTGAGGGGAGTTGATGCTGGTTCAATCTTGATGGATTTCTATGGTGAAAGAAGAAGTTCCTTATCTTTCTTGCTGCTCTGTAAAAAGAAAAGAGCAACTGAGAAGCTGTCTTGAGGATAGACATGGGGACAGCCATGCTCTGCTCCCTCCTGACTTTCATAAATTTTTGGATCTTGTTTTGATGTGAAGATGATAGGAGTTCAAATCAGATCTATATATAGGAATACATAACGAGTAATCTTGGACTCTGTAATTAGACCAACAGTTAAGCATTTAATATCACTAATGAATGCTGTGTAAAAAGGAATAATAGTTAATTACGTCAAAGATAAAATTATTGTGATTATATTAAATTTTACATTTAATATTTTACGTAAAAATTAGAGCTCTAATATCTTTAAATTTAAATTCAAATATCTTCAAAATTTAATATTTAATTATTAAAAAATAATAACTTTTAACATTTTGATTAAAATTTAAATCAAACGAAAAAAGAATTAATCAAACATATATGATTTGAACTTTTAAATACCATTTATCATAATTTTAAATAAAATAATAAAAAAATGTAACTCATAATTTTTTATACTACAGAAATAGCATCTATCTTGTATATCATATAATTTTTTTATATTTATCTATCGAATGCTCTTTAAATAATATTAAAAATACTCCTAATTTAATTTTAACAAATTAAAATATATTTTTCGTGCATATATTTTTCAAGTAATTGAGATATTAAAATATTAAATAATAAAATTTAAATATTGGATATGTAAAAATACCAGAATTGTGTATAAGAAAATGCGCAAAGAGTCTTATTAATCTATTCCTTCTACATATAAAATGTATTATGTAAATACTAAATTAAAAAATATTTAATTAAGATATAAAATTTAGTGCATAGATGTAAATACTGAATATAAAAGGCCATTTATTGAGCAGCTTTGGGAGTAAAATATTATTTCATGACAATATCCATGTTCTGAACATTTAAGAAGGTGGTTGAGTTGGTGAGGTTGTTTGTACATACACATCAATGTTCACACTCAAAATAATTTATGTAGAAGACCAGACTGTTAAGGGCTAATTCGTAGAAGCCCCAGCAGAGGGAGTCTGGGAGAGATTGGACGGGGAGTTATGGAGGAAATAATGCTCATTTATGTCGATAGAGAAGGATTCAGACAGGAGAGAAACGTACGAGTAGTGGCTTTTGGGATTCTTCCTTGAATGTTGCCAGCCTGCAATCATAAATATACTAACCTGTATTCTTCGTTGTATGTATTTGCTAGTTGCGATCATGAACGTGCATGGACAAGCTGATCAGCCTCTTTCTGATTTTGTACTTTACTTGTCATGCTAAACTAGTTGAAAATTTGATGCAGAATTCAGGTCTCGGCGTTGCAAGTTGGAAGTAATCCCATGCTGTCATTTGACCGACCGTGCTGTGCATTGTTCAAGGAATTGAGTACTGCAAGAGTTATAATCAAAAGATTAACACTTTGGTTGACTAAGGCTTTCTCCAATCGAACTTCAAACGCATGAATAGCGTCGCACGTTAGCTCCAACCGAACGGATAAACTTCTAGTATTTGGCTGCGGGTGAACAGTGCGACGACAATATTGGTGTTGCACTGTTCACATGCATTATTTTTCTGTCTCTACCAGATTTGCCGAAAAAATACGCAAAAGAGGAGAAAGACGATAACCGTCTGCGAAGGGCGCAAAATGGAGTTCTATTGGAGATGAATCACACTATTTTTTAGCTTCATTACATTTTAGAGTGAAAAATGACATTTTCGGTTGGAGATGCCCTAAGAACAGCAGCTATGACCCATTTGGATGGATTTGCAGTGCAGTTGGAAAGGCTGATGGATGTCTGGCGAGAAAAAAATTGGCGCAGTTAGTAAGCAGATATACTGAAAAGCCACTGAACGCCCAAGGGAAAAAAAAATAGCGATTTCGGGCGATATTATCGATGGAAATAATTTGGATGAAAATTTCGAAGCTGTTTCCGTTGAACGTCCCTTGAATATTTAACATTTTAACGTGTCATTTCCAGTGGATTAATTACCTCTTCCTCTCATTCACCTCCCCAGCCCCTTGGCCTGCCAGAGTGCGGCCGCGTCGGTTTGGGGTCATTTTGAACTAAATATCAACTGAATTTCTTCTTCTCTTTCTGGGTTAATTTTTAAACTAAATATAAATTAATTTTTAATTAACCACAACCAACAAAGAAAATAAATTTTAAACTAGCAAAAGTCAACCAATGCATGAGCGACTTTTTTTTTTTTTTAAATAAGAAATATATTAATAACACAAAAATAAAGGTTACATCAGCATAAAAAGAAAAGCTAGCAGATAAAAAAAACAACAGAGTGAATTAGAAAATAAAAGCGAGCTCAGAACAAAAACAAAGCTTTCAGCGTCCAGTGAGTCCCACACGGAACCTCCAGAAAGCGAATGCCACCAGCAAAGAAGGACCAGGACGCGAGCCCCAACCACATCATAGCCCAAAGCCTCACTTAGCAGCAAATCAAACAGTAAATCCGCCAAATCCCGAGAAGAAGCAGCAAGAATCAACAAACATACGAAACGAAAATTCATCTCCTGCGTCGACCTTTCCCCCAAAATTTTCCACGAGAGCCAACCTTTGAA